AAATAACTACGGAAAGCAAAAAGTAAAAACTGAAGAAAATTTCTAATAAAAGTCTCTCATTTTCCCAATTTTCAATTTTTTTTCTTTGTTCGTTTGAACATCCATAATCTGGTGGCGAAATTCAAATAAATAATTAAATAGATAGATAAATAAAGTAGGACAAGAAGAAAGCAGAGGTGTTGTGGAGAAAAAGGCAGAGAAATGGATGAGAAGAAAACACTGCTGTTGGATTAGTTGCAAAAAAAAACTAGTCGACGGGAAATAATTATGAAGATGTTGATAGTGGTGGCGCTGTTGTTACTATTGTTGTCACCGCAGATGCTGTTTTAATACCGATAATGCCAATGACAAAGATGACGTTAGCAATGACGGTGATAATGATGATGACTCAAATTTTAGAGTAATTTATTAATTGTTAGTCTTTTCTTGCCAAAGGCTGATATGAAACAGTTTAATAGCAAAATTATTGGAGAAAGGGAGGATGCAGGATGACATAGGAAGAAGAGGGGAAAAACTTGAAACAAGATGGAAGGGGATGTACCTGGTGGAAATTAACAGAAAGGGGAAAGAGAGGGGAACGGTGAAAAGGGAGAGAAAGAAGGGGACAGGACATGAAGAGTACGTGTTACTGCTACCGCCACTGAAGTTCTTGGTGCTGCTGTCGCTGTAGTTGTCGCTGTCGCTGTAGTTGTCGCTGTCGCTGTAGTTGTAGCTGTCGGTGTTGCTGTTGCTGTCGGTGTTACCGTTGATGCTGGAACGCTGTTGTAAAACAGCTTAAGAAATTCACATTAAAAATTATCATAAAAATAAAACTGGTTTCAATAACTTAACGGAAAGGATTATTAAACAAACAAAACGGAATTTTAACTTCAGTAACTCTCTTCCACTCCTTCTGTCCTCTGCAACCCATCATCGCCACCAAAAGCCAAGCGATCCAAGCAGAGAAGAAGAGAAGAGACACAAATCATTGAATTGGCAGTCAAAAAATTCTTGGGGCCTCTGTTCAAAAAGTATACACAAATACACTTATATAACATCGTTCGACAACGGTTCCTTCCTATAAGTATTCCACAATTCGCCTTATTCAGGCAGTAGTCATCAGCTGATAATAACTATATATTATTGTTGTTATTATTTTTGTTGTTGTTGTTGTCGCCCCCTTATCGTCTTCGTCGTTTTCGTCGTCCTAGCTGCTGCAGTTGGTCCTGTTGTTTTAGTATTCCAAAATGTTTGGCAGTACATTACGTAGTCCGGCAGGCACATATGCTTCCGAAACAACAAGTTAATATGACTTTTATTTTATTAATTTTTTACTCCATTTTACATCTTTTTCGGTTCTTTTTTGCTTCACTTGGAACAGATAAGTTAAATGAGATGAAAGAAGCTGTTAAGCTGTTCAATTTTTCTGCCTTTATTAATTGCCATTTACTATTTGTTTTTTTTTCTTTTTTTTTTCTCTTTAATTTTTATCAGCCGGTGTAACAAAAAACATTGGCTATTGTTTTGAGCAGAATAATTTAATGGATAATGGTGGAAATCATTTCTATTATTAGCTTTTATTGCTTTCTGTTTCCGTTTATTTTCTTCTTTGTTCTAAGGAAAAATATGTGTTTGGCTGTTTTGTGTGTGCGCGCAGATTATTTTTTTTTTT